CACCAGGAAGGACCCCAAAAGGGTTTTGTTGTGCTGGGAGAAAGGAAAACCTCCCTCCAAAACATTCCTGATCCCTGGGCACTGCCGGGCTCAAAGGGCTGCAATGACGGGAGCTATGGGGTGACAAAAAATGCTGTAAAATAAGGAAAATACCAGGCTAATCCTGCTGCTGGAATGTATGTTCTCAACTCAGTACCTGTCTGGAGATTTGGGAGCTCTAAACCCTCCCAAAGGTGTCTTTGCACCTCTTGTCGGTCCCCTTTACCCCAATAACTCCAAATCCACAGTATTTGAGTCCTCTGTAACACCTCCTGTGCTGCTCAGGCACAGATGGAAATTTCAGCCTTTCTGGACATTCCCTCATTGACGCCAAGTGATTTCAGTCAGGCTGGAGAGAGCTGGCTGGGAATCCCTAAAGTGCTGATTTGCACCCCTGAGATGCCCCAAACACCCATTCCAAGTGGAGTTGGCAGGTTGCAACCCAAATTTCACCTCAAAATTTGGTGTGTGGAGAACACCAGAACAAAATATGACGTGGCTGGAGGCTGGTAGAATTTAACCCCACTGCAGCAGCCCATGGAGTCTTCTGTGCTTCCCAAAAGCCGAGCTCAGGGTGATTAATAGAGATGTGGAATGTGTGGTAAGAATTTCTCAACTCTGAAGGGAGTTTTGCTGGTTCAAGATGAGAAGATCGGACATGACTGCACTTGGTTCCAGAGGAGGGAGATGGAATTGGTGGATTGTCCTACTGGATTGGTGGCTGTCCTATCTCCATTTTATTGTCCTTACCAATCCATTGGGAAATGGATGGAGGAGAAGAGACAGCTCTAAGAATATTCCAAGGAGAGCATTTGGGGTAAGAAGCAGAGGAAGAATTCAAGGTAACAGTGCAGGTTATGGGGTGCAGACTGGAGATTTGGGGGGTGTTCAGGAAGCCCCAGAGCATCCTTGCTGCACCTCAGGGACAGTGTTGCATCCCCAGATTGGAGATTTGGGGGGTGTTCAGGAAGCCCCAGAGCATCCTTGCTGCAGCTCAGGGACGGTGCTGCACCCCCATAAAGGGAGGAAGGGGCTGCATTTCCAATAGCCCCCAGCCCTCCTCATTTAGGATTGAGCCCCATGGAAGGGGCTGGTGCAGGGCTGAGCCCAGCCTGGGAACAGGCTGCGGGCTGGGATTCGCACAGCCCAGCCAGGCCCTCACTCCCACGGCCCTGGGCAGCATTGTTCTCTAAAGGCAGACATGTTTCCTTCCAAGGAGCAGACATGGAAAGAAAAACACACACAAAAACAAATCAACTCGTCCTTCCCTCCGCGGATGGCGCGCAGCCCGCTTGTCACTGAGGCTGGAGGTGGACACGGTCCCAGCCTGCCAAGGGCCACGGGGGGATGAAAAGTCATTTCTCAAGCCCTTTTTCTGTGGAAAATCCCCTCCTCATGATGGCAGAACCAACCAAGCTTTATCCCCAACTCCTCCTATGAGCATATCCCTGCAGCCAACCCATCCCAAAAGCAGGCTTGGGGTATTTGGGTGTTTTCCACTTGTCCAACTCCTTCTCCTCTGTTGGGAAGGATCTGAATTAGCTCATGGCTCTGTCAGTCTTCCCTAATATTCACCCAGGGCACTTCCCCACAGTTTTGGAAGTTTGGAGCTTTTCTAATGTCATTCAGGGTTTCCGGCTGCAGGATTTTGGCTGGGAAGAAATCACTGCAGAAAGAAGGAAGAAGGAAGAAGAAAGAAGAAAGAAAAAAGAAGAAAGAAGAAAGAAGAAAGAAGAAAGAAGAAAGAAGAAAGAAGAAAGAAGAAAGAAGAAAGAAGAAAGAAGAAAGAAGAAAGAAGAAATTTCATCCCTGCTCCTGGGCTGCACCCAGTCCTCATGGCCTGAAGGCACTGGGTGAAGCTCTGCAGATACAAAACTCCTTTGTGATGTATAGGGGATAAACCTGTCCCTTGCAATGGGATCGCCACCACTTTTCACCCTGCCTCTCTTATCTGTTCCTCATCACGTATTTTTTTAAGCTTTCTCTCCTCACAAAATATTCAGTAGATCATAACAGGCTCAAAACACAGTTGGGCATCTGTCCTGCTGCTGGAGCTTTTGGCTGCATTCTGCTCATTAAATGGGCCTGGCTCTGCACAACCTGACAAATACGAGGTGAACTTTACCCCCGGGTCTGCCACTTTCACACAGCAAGGGCACATATTCCACAGCTGGGGAGCTGTTATTCGGCTGGGACTGTAGCACAGGTCAGAATTTATGGCTTTGTTATTATTATGTTTGTGAGCTTTACAGCCCCACGGGTCCCGCGGGAACCCGCGGCACTTTCGCTTGGCCGTGTCTGTCAGACATTCATATCCCACCAAAAAGGAAGCATTGAAAATGCTGGGAATATCCTGTCTAACACTGTCTCTCATCTCTCTGACCCTCAGGTAAGGGCCAGACTTTGTTTGCACCCAAGTGGGGAGGAAGCTGATAAAGGGCATTAGAGGAACATGGAGGGGGAGTGGATGGCAATGAACACTCAGCAGAGCTGCTGCCAGACACCTCTGCTGCCCTGTTTGTTCCCTCTAATGACACACGTCCCAAATTTCCTGATCTGAACAGTCATCGTGTTGCTCTTGGTGTTTTATTGCCCTCTGAAGTCGAGCCAGGAGCTTCACAATGGGAGTTAACCTGGTGTTAATGAGTTTAACCACTCCAGTTCATCTGCTGACTCCTCAGAGCTTTAATGGCTTTGGGGGGAACACAGAGACAGATTGTCACTCAGGGACAATGGGTAAACACACCACACTCTGCCAAAATCTCCCTGTGAGCCACCACAGCCATGCTGAGAACTCAAAAACTTTGATTTTTGGCTTGTGGTTTGTCATGGAAGGTGGCACTGGTGGGGTAAAATATCCAGATTTCTCTCTTAAATGCCATGGACAGATGATAATGAGCCTCTGCCAGGCTTCCTTGTGGGGACTGCAGCGAGCAAACTTCTCTGCTGCAACGTGGGTTGTTGGGTCAATGACATGGAGACATCTCTCACTGAGCAGGACCAAGCCATCCAGGGAATTTAGCTGCCAAAAATGCTCCTGTTTGGGCATCTGAGCCCACTGAAGCAGCAAGGTCCTTCCCAAAAGCCACAGACTCTTCAGAAAAGCCAAAATATTCCAAACAACAGAAGTTCTCACCCTCAAGGAGCACCAACATCTCCTACCACCCACAGCCAAGAGCTGACACTGAACTTACTGGATGTATATAATAATAAATATGTAAGTCCCTGATATACAGTGCTGTGGTTTTCTGTAGCAGAGGATGAACTTTCTAACCACCTTCTGGCTGAAGAAATGATTCCACTTTGCACCTGTCCAAAGAATACATCATCTTAATTCAGCATACCTCAGCATACCAGCTCCTGCTGGGCGAGGGCAACTGGACACCCTCAGGCAAAGGCCAAACCAGGAGTCCTTTAACCTAATAAGGCAGAGAAGGCTACAAAGGCATCCACAATTCCCTTGGATTTCCCTCCAGGGAGGCAGGTGCTGTCTGTCCTTGAGGAGCACAGACATCTGACATGGCCGTGACTCTGTCGTGCCTTTCTTTCTCTGCTGTGTGTTCTGTGACAATTCCTGAGATCATGAAGTCAGGGATCCTGGAATGGTTTGGGTGGGAAGGCACCTTAAAAAGATCACCATGAGAGGGACACCTTCCACCATCCCAGGGTGCTCCAAGCCCCAATGTCCAGCCTGGCTTTGGACACTTCCAGGGATGCAGGAGCATCCACAGCTTCTCTGGGCACTCTGTGCTAGAGCCTCACAGGGAAGAATTTCTTCCTGACATCTAATTAAGATCCACCCTCTTCACATTTTGAAACTGATATCGACATCCTTATCTGTCCATGCTCTGGTCCAAAGTCCCTCTCC